TCTCTGCTGTTGAAAACTTTACTCAGTGTCCTGGTTTCGGCTATGACAGAGTTAATTTTCTTCATAGTAGCTGGTACAGTGCTGTATTTTGGATGTGGTTGATAACACACTGGTGTTTTAGTTATTGTTGAGTAGTGCTTATCCTAAATCAAGGATTTTTCAGTCTCCCATGACCTATAAGAGGACAGGTGCACAAGAAGCTGGGAAGGAGCATGGCCAGAAGAGCTGACTCAAACTAGCCAAAGGGATATTCCATACTATAAGATGAGATGGTCAGCATATAAACTGGGGGGAGCTGGCCGGGAGGGGCTGATCGTTGCTCAGGGACTGGCTGGGCATTGGTCAGTGGGCAGTGAGCGATTGCATTGTGCATCACTTCTCTCTTTTTGTTATCTTCCTTCTCATTGCCAATATTATTATTATATCTTATTTTATTTCAACTATTAAACTATTCTTATCTCAACCAAAGAGCTTTACTTTTTTTTTCTTTCTGATTCTCCATCCCAGTGGGGGAGGGAAGTGGGGGGAGGAGAAGAATGAGTAAGTGGCTGCATGGTACTTAGTTGCCAGTTGAGGTTAAACCACGACATTCAGGTTTAGAAATAATACAAATGTTCATGCTTTTTATTCGTCTATTTCATGCTGTCAGACTTTTCATTAATGTCTTTCACAGACAATTCAACAGTTGAAGTAAAAAAAAATAAATTGAAAGTAATTTTTTAACATTTTTTCAAATTCCTCAGGCAATGAGTCAACTCAGTGGTACAGTAAATTGGCAAAAACCCCTGTTTTTACAGCTGTTGTACAACACACAAATGTGAGCTGGAACCAACTGTGCTATCCCTGATGGAAAGATTTGTGAAGCTGAATTGTGGAAGGGGGGAACCATCAGAGGGGGCTGGAGTTTTTTTATAAGTGCTTCTGAGTAGGCTGAGGCTTTCAGTTGGTGTAACTGAATGTCTGGTTATGGACTGTGTTTGTTTCTGTAGTAGTAAATAGAAGAGTTGAGGCGAAGTTAGAATAAAATATCTTGCCATATAGATTCACTAAAGGGTTGTACATACATTTTGAACAGCATGGCTGGTACCACCTCAGTGAAACCTGTGTGTTTCACCAGCTGTTAGAATACTACCCATACAGTAAAGAGCTCGGAAGAGAGGCACTGGAAGATTTAGAGCAATGCCACCTAGTGATAAAATATAATCTCCTGAAATAACTCAATTTTAATTTTACAGGCTTTAATATGCTTATACCTTTAATGTACTCTTTGACAATTCCACTTGTTAGTATAGAACTTGGACCTCAAAAATGCCTTGAGGCATAGTTAGAGCTTTTGCTAAGCACCAGCTTGGATTTGTAGGTATGGCTCATATGCCACTAAGAGTTGCTGGCAGAGCTGACCAGGAGGAGCCTCTTTGCCTCACTTCATTTCTCTTGTCTTAGACCAGTCAGTGGCTGAATGCTGATACCACTACTTAGCAGGAGTGAGTGCATCTGAATCTAACCATCTGAATTGTTAGCCTTTGATGCCTGACAGTGAATAATTTTTTCCCCCAACAGCTGCTTGAATAAGGTGACCATCTGCTCCTTATTAAAAAACAGAATCCTTTATTCAGTGCCTAATGTTGTGCGGCCTATAGCAGTTGAATATAGGGTGTACTTTGTCCCACATTTCAGCAATAATCATACAGAGGAGTCCATACAAAGATACAATGGCATGATTTGATAAGATCCATAATTGTTTTCTTGCAAATAGAACACTGCAGGCTTTTCTTTCCCTTTTCCAGTGTTCATTTTTTCTGTTTTTCATATTTCTTTTTGTATTTCCTGATAATGCAAACAGTTATTCAATATCTTTGATTCGTTACTGTGACCCTTTAATAGACAAAATTATTTGGAATGTTCTGTATTACATACTTCCATAAGAAGATTGAATCACTACGCTTCCCACTGAGATAATTTTTGTCTTGTGATGCCCTTCATGATTTTGGGGATCTTGCTGATTAATTTCCTCATGAAAGGTATCACCATGGTTCAAAGGGGTGGTTCCTGAGGGTAATCTGAACAGGATATGTCTGTCAGAACCTGCTAAAACAAATCTTTAGGCAAAACAGCAATGCACATTTAAGGACCCACATGCTTTTTCTTTTTGATATTTTTAAAATAGTGGTCCATGGCTCTGCCAAGACCAGTGTCCTATCATAGGTATATGATAGGACAAATCTGTGGTAAAACCTAGACCTTTTATTTCCTTTCAAATCTAAATTCCTTTGTCTTGAATTTGAAACTGTTGATTTCAAATGAAGTGTCAGCCTGTCCTCTTTTTGGTATTTTTGTACTCTCTTCTCTGAAGTGAAATTCAAATGGAAAATTTGTTGAATACCAAGTCCTCCCTTTGGATGCTGATGCAGCTCTGCTCCCACTGAGAGGTAAGGGTTGCAAAGAGCTAACAAATTATTGAGAAGCCTTTTGAAGGGCCCCCCCTTGAAGCAATCACGGTAGTTCTGATGGAAAATAGGTTCTCACTCATTAAAATCTGATTGTGGAGCAAAGTAAAAACAAAACCCAAAGTAAGCTAAACTTCAATTTTGCTGTACCAAGATGTTTATTGAAGACTTGACCTCTCATCTGCTCCTCAGAGCTTCTTTATCTTCTACAAGTAAAATTAAGATATAGCCAAACACCGGGTTCGTGCAGTGGTTTAGAAGTGACTTCTTGAGCAGAGCCTGCACGCATTTTTGTGATGTTCACTATAGTTATCTCAGATGAGAAGTAATAACAGGTAATGCATTTTTTTTATGAAGAGAATGATGATATGAGAGCAGTTTAGGGGACAAGCGATGTGTTTTTCCTAGAGATTTATTTGCTTTTATTTTTTCCATTTTTCTTACACTGTCAAATTCGACTTTCTTTTAAAATTATGAATGTGCAGTGGCTTTTTGGTGAATTGTTTATGAAGTCATGATACAGCTTAGTGTGACAATATGTGTATATACACTTCATAATGATTTGGAAAAGGTCAGCACTACAGAAAAGAAGGGTGTAGGAATAGATGTGTTTGTTTTTATGCCAAAAATCCAGACAAAATTACTTCTGTCAGGGGAGAATTTAAAGGAAAAAATAGGCTTTGTCATCCATCTCCCACTGAATTTCAGCAACCTTTATAGAAAATCCTCCATTTTTCTTTACAAAAGGCTGTTTGTTGTTGTCTATAGCACAGCACTTCTGAACCTCAGACTTGAATGAGGTTTCATTACGTGAAGTCTTAGTAATCATTATACAAGGTGCATGTGAGATGGAGGAAAAAAATCAAATTTTAATTTCTGCCTATGTGTTTCCCATTGCTAATCTGTCTCCTCTGCACCAGCTGTGGCATCGTTGGTGGCCGAGGGTTGGGCTGATGGGTGGTGGCAGCTGTTCTCAGTGCCACCATGTTGGGATATGGCACACTGACCCTCCCAGAGCCCAAGCTGGTACCTGCTAAGGACTGTCTGCAGCATCCTCTGAGTTTTGTGCCCGAGTTTTTATCCTGTGCTGGCATCCCAGCTCCAATGCCTCTGTACCAGGAGTGTGAAAAGGTCACTGCTTGCAAGGGGAAAGGTTTTAGGCAGGGCCTGAGACAGCTGAATGTGACAAAATCTAAAGGTAGCTATGCAGAGATCCTGAAGGAAGTTAACTTTAAGAGAAGTAAATAGCTGTTAACTTAAAACTGTTATTCTGGCATTATGCTTTAAGCTATTTTGGGGGGTTTTCTATTTTTTTATAGTGAGGTTTAAGACTTTTTAAATTCATGATGACATGAAGGAAAAAACGCTGGTCTGCAGTCTTTTCCAGGGAGCAGTGTGAACTGCAGGCCTGTGAAACTGGTGCAAGAAAGAGCACAAACAAATTCACCTCAGTCATGTACCAAGATACTTAACTTTGGCAGTACTTGGCAGCTGAATTATGAGAAAAGTGATTGAAGCAGCCTGGTGGAGGTGGTGGAGATTTTTTTCCTATCTTTGCCAGAGCTGCAAGGCTTGAATATTAAATGGAAAGTATAGAAATTTGTAAGTTCATTCCATCAAAAGGATGTTTATACAATTAAATCTTTAAATGTTTATTTTTCCTTATTGCAATAAACTGCATTTTTGGTGGACAACTCTTGTCCCGTGTTTCAGCCAAACATTCATAATTAGTGTTCTACCAAAGTTGAAGAGCTTGTTATTAGTTGTACCACACCTGTATGTTGTCACTCATTTCTCTTTATCAAAGAGATAAACAATTACAAGGGCTCAGAAAGCTGAACAAACTGCAATTACTGCTCTCTTCTCCCTACCTTCCCTGAGTCTTTCTGTAATTCATCTTGGACATGGTTGAGAGCTTCCTGAGGCAAACAATTAGATTGGTTAGTAATTCATGGAAGTTTCATCACCCATGTGGGAGGATTTCTTGGAGACCATCTTGATGGATGTTTTGATGTTGTTTTGAGTTCCACTTTCAGTCTTTCCTCTGATGGATGATCTCTGTCCCTAACTCCAAGTATCCAGCTGTTTTCCTTTGTCCCAGTCATTCCCATGGTTCACAGATGTCTTTTTACCTTGACTTTCTTTTGCCTTTTTTCCTTAAGTGTGCTACTATTGGGGTTTGATTTGGTTTCTTTGTTTTTTTTTTTTTTTGTTTGTTTGTTTTTTGTGTTTTTTTTGTTTTTTTTTGTTTGTTTGTTTGTTTGTTTGTTTGTTTGTTTGTGTTTTTTTTGCTTTTGTTTTTTTTTTTTTTTGGTGTGGGTTTTGTTTTGTTTTGTTTTGGTTTGGTTTTTTACATTAGTATTTCCAGGTCTCGCTTAGGAGCTTTCTTTCACCCACTGTTATCTTCTAAAATGTCAGTGAGACCATCTGCTTCAAACTGACTCTGCTGAGCAATTCTAGTTTTCTAATGTCATTTGCACAGACCTCTTTTCCAGACAGACTCGGTCTTCATCAAAGAACTCAGTAGCATAAAACACAAACAAGCCTGGGAAATGTGACAAGCATAGCCTTTTAATATAAATGAACCACATATTTTCATTACTTTTAGTACCTCTCTGTCATGGATGCTTAAACTGAGCATTTGTCTACATGTTTTAGCAGTGGTTAAGAGTCAGATTCAGGAAACTATTTCAGCACATGGATAATCATGTTCCCATTTAGCAGCCGTTTACATGCTGTAGTCCCAGTGAAATCCATAAGGCTTTCAGCATGATCCTAATCTTAATCATATTCAAATGCTCAGTCAAACACACTCTTTTTTCAAGGGCTTTATTTTTCTGGCTTGTGAACATGTATTTTATACATAATCTATTTCTCTCTGTCCATCTCAGATTGTAAACTTGTAAAGCAAGCATGGGAGATTGATTTCATTGTTTATATCAACAGTTTTCACCTTCTGCCTGTCAGACACCATATTGCTTACCAACCCTCTGTTGTTCCTTATGTCTGGACGTAATGAAAGAAAACAAACTGCTTGAGGAGGAAATTACACTTTTCCTTCTCCCATCCTCTTTGTTCACCCCAGTTGGCTTGCAGTGAATGGATGCCGAGAACCAGTTCTTACCCTCTTCTTTTTTACTATTTGCATTATCATGTCACTAAATTAGTACATACAGTTCTTGTCCACTCTGACACTTGGCAATATAACATCTGTATAGTTACATGTGTGTTGAGAGGATTCTGCCTGCAACTTAAAGTCTAAGTAACTAGAAACTGTGGATTAGGGCTTCCAGTCTTCAAGTGTCCTTTAGGCTTGAAAGGTCCATGCAGTCAGTCCCACACAGTGATGGCATGAAATGTTTCATCTTAGTTCTTAATTTCTGTGCCTGGTAACTGCCAACCCTCCTGGGTTCACATATCTTAGATACAAAGTGGTGCTTCTGGTGTAGCCCTCTTTCTTCACTAAGAGAATTTAACATATATAGTAGATCTGGAGACATGTGTCTGTAAATAACACTGCCATTGTTAATACAATATTGTTAATAAAATATCCAATAGTATAAAGCAATGAAAATGTTGAAGCAATTATTTTTGAATAGGGCAAATGATCTTGAAATCACCGAAGATCCGAAGCTCTTTAATCTAGAACCTCCACATGGAAACACTGCTTTTGCCTGCCTTCATTGGTTTGCTATAACTCTTACATCCATTTTTTTCATTGTTGTGCTCAAATGGCCTAGATGCGTTTTATGAAAACCCTCTTTAAGACAGTTATGGCTGATTTGGCAATCAGCCCAAAGTGGAGCAATAGTAGCAATGAGCTCTCTGAACTCATTTACTGTGGTTTCTGCTTTGCTTTCCTCATACCTGTGCTGCTCAGTATCAAAACAAAACCGTTTAAAGCTTGCTCTTATAAATTGTCCTAAGATGATCCACAGCAAGGCTGATAAATAGATGTACATTTAGAGTGCTTGTTTTGGAAACTTTCTGAAGTGACTTTTACCTTGTAGCTGAAATGAGCCAGCTCACAGCAGTGAGGTGGTCCACTCAGCCAATTCATGGTGGTGAGGTGCTCCGCTCAACTGCTGTGGTAGTTCCTGATGGCATTTCACTCTATTCTTACTGTACATTGAATTACACAGGTTCCCTGGTGTATGCAGAGAATATAAGACTCTAGTTCTTGCTTTTCTTCAGATTAATTCTCTGTCCTGGTAACTTCTCAACAATATTGTCAAAAAATATTGTTTCACTTTCTTTCAACTATGGGCTTTTTAACTAGGTATCAAATTCTTTCCTTTTGAAATATCTTCTCATGCCTTTTTAGTCCCATTTCTGTTCCTCCAAATGTAGGTTTTATCTCTAAGCCTGCTCCAGAGTCCACTTAAAGCATGACTGTATGCTCACTTCACAGCTTCAGAAAGATAGGTTTAAGGGAGACTCCGACTTGTGCAAAAGGACGCTCATGTGTTTTGCGCTCTCATAACATGTGAAAGTTGATTATTGTAATATTCTACTTGCAGCTATTCAGAATGTTGCTGCTCACACATCTGCTAGGATGAGCAATTAAAGATGAAAGCAATGTAAACCTTGTACTTAAGACTCAGTTGACTTCCACAGAGAAGAAACGAGTTCTTACAACTTCCTCTGACATACTGGTCCTTTTGGCATAGTACCATCGTGTGCAGTCCCAGGGGAAAGAAACACCTCCTGCAAATGTTAATACTTTGTTGACCTCATACTGAATGTCAACTACTTGTTGTAAAATAATCGTAGTAATTTAATGGTTGTTTAAAGATGTAGTCAGCAATACATTTGGGAACTGAAATTTTTAATCTAATTTTATATTATTTTTTAAACACTGCTGTAGTTTTCACTGGTAAAACTAGTAGTGTTGTTTATTTGTCTTTCATTAGATGAGCCAAAATTTATGGGGAACATTGGTCTTTCTTACTGGATGAACTGATAAAGTCAGAGGAAAAAAAAAAAAAACAAGTTTTTTGATCTATCACTTCTATGACATTGGTTGTGTCTGGGAGACCCTTGATATCGCATGACATGTCAGTGAACAAACTGGATACAAAAACAAAACGGCCTTTATGAAACAGACTAAAAACTGATTAAATGCTAGGTTCTTAAGTATAATTACTAAGTGGGAATCATTGCTAAAGTTGATTTGTTTCTGGAGACGTTCCAGAGGACTGAGGCCAAGAAATGATCTCTGTAAGGTCTTGCTAAATCCAGTACACCAGTGTAAATGCATTACTGATAAAGTTACTAGGTTCAGTAGTTCCATGGACAAATTCATAATAAAAACAACACTGAGACGTCAGTGCAGGACCAAACAGTACTGTAAAGACAGGCAAAGTTACAAATTTTTACAAACGGCTGTAAGCAATCATTGGAACATTCCACAACAGCTGTAATAGATCAACCCTGATTTTTAACTCAAGATTGGTACATTAAGGAAAAAAAAGAACTATGGACCAGAAGCAAGAATTAATACAGGTAAACCCCACAGCTTACAAAAAATGCCAACTTAGAAATCCCAGTGGTCTAGTCTGGTCTTAAACTTCTACAATCATCAACTCATAATGACCTTTTTTTTTTTTTTTTTAAAAAATGGCCTCTCTGAACTGACTTTTCTCTTCTTGGTGTTATACAGATCTGACTTTTTAACCGAATCTTTCCTAACCTAATCTCTCTTTTAAAGTTTTTTTTTTTTTTAAACATCATCACATAGACAAAGCCTTCAAAACTCTATATTGTGAGGTTTATAAGCTAGAGCTGGTTGGTGATATCTCCTCAGCATTGCAATGTTCCTGCCATATTGTTCTTCAGTGGCACCAACTTTGAGTGGTACTGTCAGCTGGCAGTCAGGGATGTCAGAAGATACACAATGAATGATTTAGTCACACTCCTCGCCCAAATCTGTGATATGATCCTTGTTTCTGAATGTGGGCAGGATCTTGTCCTGCTGATTTGAGGGAGCCAGGAGGGCTGCTGTCCTGCCTTTGTTATTGATGTTCCTCTTTCTCTGGACTGGCAACAAAATGGAAAGAGGTGTGTCAAACAACGGAAGACCTCTGGAGGAAAAAAAGCTTATATGTATTTTCATAAACAAGAACTTAAAGTAGAGAAAATTGCTTTCCTCTGCTGCTTTTTTAATTTCCCTCATTTTTCGATCCTGAGAAACAATTGTGGGTAGAAGCCAGTAGGGCCTTCATCGGCTGTCAAGCAGTTGCCAGCAGGTATTACTGTTCTGAGAGTCTCAGGGGCCCCAAGTCACCTGGAAACACGTAGTGCAGCAGGATCTGCTTTAATACTGGGAAAGATGTTGTAAGGGAGAGATGTTGCTGAATATGTATGAAAACAAACAACTTGGCTTAAAGAAATAACATATAAAATTGTTTTTAGTAACTATGGTTAGAACAGGCATATAAAGGCTGAAGTCTATTGACATAGTCTCTTAATGAGGCTGCAAAGATGTTTTCCTTCTCAACTGTGCCACTTCTAATGTTTTACTTTTCCCTTGTGTTTGATTTTTTTCCAACATCAGTCATTCATTTACAGCACTTTTGTTGATTTAAATGGCTTTGGATCAGGCTCCAAGTTACCATTTCCCTTCTGTTTGAATAGGGATATTCTTTTATCTAGAAGGAAATCAATAATTTGTCATGACAAACCAATGCTCATTTGGATTCACAATCGTGTGGTGAGCTCTTCTGTCATTTTCTAAAGCATTTTAGGATAATGGAAGAAGAGTCTCACTTGTGACCTTTGCTGTTTTCGTTTTCCCAGATTGATTTAAGTTCTGTATTACATTTGACCATTTGTAGAATTACAGTAAATCTATCGTTTTGTTTGTTTTAAAGGCAGTACTAGCTTTCCATGCTTTCTGTGCCCCGAGTCTTTCCCAAGGGACCCTTCAGGGATCCATCAAAGGATTAACCTTTCACGTGACAAATTAACAAACATAGCTGTGGGAACAAGCTAAATTATACCTTGATGTAAACTTGCATATTCTGTTCCATTTGTTTCCACCTGGAGGTTTGCAGGTGATGGATTATTTTTCACAGAACCGAGTTCCCGTCCTCTTAGATGCTGCCACCTCTGCAACCCCACCTGCACACTAAACACTCCCATTGCAGGGAATGCCCAGATGCTTTCCTGCCAGCGCTTTCCCTGCAAACTCACCTTTGGGGGTTGCTAGGGGACCCCAGACCCCAGGGTGTCCCTGCACAGCTGAGCTGTGGGCAGTGGGGACTGGGAGTCAGAATCGAGTGAGGGCCCTAGTCCTGCGGCTTTCCCCTGGCTTTGCCTTAGGACTGCCTGACCCCCTCCTAGGGCCTCGCCTTCCCCCCAAAATGGGATAGTGACAAGTTGCCGATCACCCCACGAGCAGCTGGTGAGGGGCACAAACCGGAGTGGGGTGTGTGCGGGGCACTCCCTAACCCTTTCTGTTCACCGGGCTCCGAAGAGAAGCCTGGTGCTGGCCCTGGCCGTGTAGATTTTGACAGAGTATTTAGCCATCCCCACCCTACAGTCACCTCTGTACTGCCTCCTGCTCTGGGAAGGCCGGGGGGGGGGGGGGGGGGGGGCCCGGCTCCACCTGCCCCCCCTCACCAACCCCACGGGAAGAAGAGCTGGAGGGAATGTGGGGCAGGTCCAGGGCTAGGCTGGGGTATTGGGGGACTGCTGTGGGTGCTGAACTGGGGCTGGTGCGCGGTGTCCAGGTGTAAGTGGGGGGTAAGTATTGTGAAAGGAGTGTGTGTGAGTGTGTGTGAGTGTGTGTGTGTGTGTGGGGGGGTGGTGTGTGTAAAAAGGTGTGCAAGGGGTGAAGGGAAGGCGTTAGAGGCGTTGCGAGGGCTGGGGATGTGGGTGTGTGTGGAAGATGCGTGCTGGGGAGTGGGGGGGGGGGGGGGGGGGGAGGGGAGCAGGGGCGATCCTCCTCGCCCATGATTGGCAGCGCGGCAATCTCCCCCCCCCCCCCCCCCCCCCCCCCCGGCTGGTGCTTTCCCTCCGGCCGCCGCTGAACCGAGGAGGGGCCGGGCTGGCAGCGCGCGCGCACGCACGCACACGCATCTCTCTCTCTCTCTTTCTCTCTCTGTCTCCCCCCTCCCCCCCCCCCCCGGCACCCCCGGAGCAGCCCCCCGGCCGGTCCCCACCACTCCCCTCCTGCCTTCGCCACTTTAGTTTTATTCCCCCTTTCCCCCCCCCAACCCATCGCCCAGCCCCTTCCCAGCCCCTTCCCACCTTCTGGCCGCTTACCCGCCTCGCCCGCCCGCCGCCCTCCCCGCGGCGCGGTGGGCTGCCTCCGCGGGCGCGCAGCGCGGGGCCATGCCGGCGGGGCTACCGCTGCTGCGAGGCGCCCTCTTCCTCCTCCTGCTCTTCCTCGGTACCCCGGCCCGGGGAGCCGTCTACACCAACCATTTCTTGGTGGAGCTGCACGGCGGGGGCCAGGCGGAGGCCGAGCGGGTGGCGGCGGAGCACGGCTTCGGGGGGGTGCGGAAGGTAAGCCCCCGCGCAGGCTCGGGGGTTTGGGGAGGTGCGGTGGCGGTGGGGTGCGGTGCCCTTCGCGTTGGGCTGAGGGCATGCGGCGTCCTCCCCCCAGCATCCCCGGGCCGGTCCTGCCCGCCGCTTGCCTGGGGATAAGGGATGGAGCGGGGCGCGTCCCGCTGTCCCCGCGTTAATCCCCCCCCCCCCCCCCCCCCCTTCCCGGTGAAGATTTTGGGAGTAGCGGCGCCAAGAGGCGTTTTAAAGGCTCCCCAGCAGGGTGATTTTATTGGACTGGAAAGCAGAGGAGTTTCCCACATGGTAGCTCGGTGCTTTTTGACTTACTATGTAAACATCCTCCAATTGAATTCCCATCCGGCGGGGCTCGGGGGCTGGGGTCGCCCGGGGCTTCCTGTGCACGGCTGCGACTGAGACTACTCGGAGTACTTAAAAAATAATTAAAGCCGCATGTCCATGGAGCAGCTTGCACACAATTAAATGGAAGATATCATAGGGGTTTTGACACTCAAGTTTGTGAGGCCGGTGGCTTCTTAATACCCTTATTATTCTTATGAGAAAGAGGATGTCCCCAGACTGAAGAAGCTACTTAAAATTAAGCGTGATCGGTAATCTGTGCTTATCACTCATGAATGTAAATTGGGAAACTTCAAGTGCCACTGGAGGTTCTTTTCTCTCCTGAGGTCCCAGGAAATCTGAAGCAGCCACAGTATCAGGGAGTCTCTTCCCAGCTCCCCTAGAAATCTCTCCCATTCAAATAATCATTAGACTTCTAAATATTTTAGGATACAGTCAGATCTGGGGTTGAGACTGAGAGAGGCTAATACATGGTCAATGCAATTCCTGGCAGGCTTAATGCCCAGGCAGTGCTCAGCTTGGAGGAGTGTGAAGGGAAAGTGAGCTGTGAGCATTGCTGCTGCTGCTTGTTTGGGTTTTTTTCTTTCCTTGGTAGTTATACAATGAGAGCCTGATCCTACTTCCAAGGAAATGACTGAGACTGACACCGTGAACTCGAATGAGTGAAATGGCTTAAGACTTTGATTTAGACAAAAAGGAAAAAAATAATTTAAAAAAAATGTAAAAAGCATAGGAAGTGAGACTCCATCCCATGGGCTGCCTTGTCTCAACTCCACTGGGAGCTTGTTAGAGAAATGAGGACAAGATCGTTGTTGCTTTGACCATTGCTAACTCCTGCTGCTGATAAGATGCTTTTGTTTTGGGCTCACAGCCTTGTCCTGATAGTGACAGAGCTGGGCTGCTGATGCCCTTGGGAAAGGATCCATTGTGGACATTAGGTCTTGTTACATGAAACTTGGATATGGCTCTTTGGTCAACAGTTCTCTCTTCTTGTTCCTTTCTTGTTCTCATTCTCTCCCTCCTATCCCGGCAATATCTGACTGTTAAGGCCTTACGAGGAAGGAAGGTTATTCTTCTGCATAGCTGAATTCCATATTACATTTGCTGGATGCTTTCATATGATCCTGTGAAACACATGGAGAAAAGACAGGGAGAGGGTGGATTTTGTAGAATGAAGAAGTGCAGCTTCTGGGATGATACAATCCCTTGCTCTCCACCATGCCTCTCCCCAGGGTGCCTCGGGCATGTTAGGAGACATACAGCTTCTTCGTGGAAATCAGTCTTGTAGCTCCTCTCGGCAGAGAACTGGAGGGAAGTCCCTTGGGTGTGTGAGGAGAGTACCTGTTCTCCAGTATGTGCCGTGGGGGGCTGTTTCCTGTGGACGTGGGTGTCTCTAGGAACGAAGCCTGGCAGAGCCGTGGTGTGATGGGCAGGTGGTGGTCTTGGCTCCTGTACTGAGCACACGCTGTTCCAGCAGGTCTCTGGGTTCAGCCCAGTCAGTCCCTGAAGAGCTAGAAAGCCTCCCCACCTCTCCTCCACAAATGCAGGAGGAAATAGCATCCTGTGATCTGCAAGACAGTCATTTTAGGGAATATGAAAAGTTCGTAGGGTTTGGTTTTTACCTGTATGTGTCAGAGGATAATCCATGGAGGCTGATGGCAAGCTGTTGTGCAGGGGAAGTCTGTAATGGGTCTTGGTTGGCAGTAGTCAGTTGTTAATAAAGCTTGTGCCATCCAGTCCAGTGTCTCTTCAGTATTGCAGAACTGAAGAGTCTCTTAATCTGTTTTGCTATCATGAGGCTTGCCTAGTGGCTCTGCTTGCAGCTCGCAGACTCAGCTTTCATGGAAAAAATGGCAGCTCAGAAAGTTGAACATGGCCATATGTGTATGGAAACAGAGCTGTTAATGGTAAACTCTCAGGGGAAAGTACCGTGTGTAGGTATGCCGTCTAATGAAATATTCAAAAAAATACCAGAAAAAACCCCAAATTATACCACAAGGTGAAGTAATCTTTGCATACTACTTGGATAATATAATGACTTATTTACTTAAGCCAAGTCCAGTTACGTTTACCCATATTGGAGAAGATCTGTAGTCTGAAAATAATCACCTTTATTTCAACACAGGGACTTTCCCAGTAGGAACACAAGGGCAGATTCAGCTTTTTTCTGTGTGTGAATTTAAGATGTACATGAGAGGGATTTCTTTTATGCATACTGTAAATCACAGACTTCTTTTAAAATGACTTTATGGAAGCTGATTTTTAAATGACACATTTTTAGTGCACATGGTTTTTTTGTAATAACAATCTCTGAGCAAGTGCATATTACATTTACGTAACAGCAGATTTCTGCAGAAATAACAAGAGAAAGCATTGCCTTGAAGATTAATGTTATGACCAGTGCAGTACACTTTCTAATTGATTCTTTGGCCATGTTTCCTTCCATCATTCTGAAACGACTACTAGACTTCAGGTGGGCCAAAATGTGTACTTTAAACTCAGTGCTTGACAAATTGATTAAGAAGAGCTTGATACGTATGTAAACAGGTGCCTGTGTTTAGATCTAGGATCCTAACAGAGTCTTAAAAACACTGGTCAAGATTTCTTTCACCTTCCCTGAATTAAATACAAACACAGACCTTTCTAACTCTGATTGTGTTCTTTATTTTTTAACATTTTCAATTTTTCAATCTATTTTTATGTGCCAAAATTGATTCAGTATATTCCTGGTGAAACAGATACTGTGACAAAGCAGGTTCTTTTCTTAAAATGGCCTTACCATCTTCAAACACTCAGGAGTCATGAGGATGCCCTCCTAATTTAACATGTTAAATTGTGAAAACTGCAAAAGGAACAACTTTGTTTGTTTGTTTTTTTCCTATTTGTTTTATTTGCTTCCTGGCATGGTTGCCACCAGAATACATTTCTTAATGCAGGCTGAAAAAAGCTGCTTTCTGACCTTGCCTTGCAATTCTTAATAAATTCTAACCAGAGGAATTGGAAGAAGTATTTGGAAAGGTCTCTTAATTGGAGATCAGAGTTTCGACATCTCTTTCTATTTAATCAACAACACTGAAATGAAGACAGTCTACAAAATGCCACCATAGATAAATATTCCACTTCTGGTGGCACTGAGGTGAAGGGTTTTAAACAGTTAGCATTCAGTGACCTCAGATTTTAAAATAAGAACCAAACACGGATTTCAAGACATGGAGAATTTTATGTTCCCCAAAGCTGGTCTGTTTTCCCCCTGATGCATCAGCTGATCACCTCTCCCTCTAAATCTTGCAAAAACCAAGGTACCTCTCACAGCTGTGACTTTTCTGCTTCCCATTTTTCTTAGGTGGCTGCTGGTTGAGGACCAAGCTTTCTGGAGTTGGCCAGGAATTTCTGTATGAAACATTGGGAGCTTCTTTCTTTTTTTTTTTTTTTTTTACATTGCATACATATGGACTTATCGAAAGCAAAACTTAACAGATAAAGAAGCCAGATTTCTTGCTGCTGCAGCCCACTTCTGCACCTAGGCTGGGAGCCTGTGAGTTGGGAGTTGATGGGGTATGGAAGGCAGACCAAGAGGCAGAGTAACAGGCTTGCGGCTTTGGGATCATTTTGTTGGGATCTCCTTCAGGGATCCTGAAAATTTCTTGCTGGGGTCCACACAGTAAATCCATGAAAATCCCTTGCTGTGTAGATCAGTCCCTAGGTCTGGAGAAGAGGTATTTGCCTAGCTTGATATTTAAGGTGCCAGAACATGTTTCTGCATGCCCAGAATGCACTGTGATGGACAGATGGGATTCTGTGCATGTAAAAAATGCTGGTTGTGGATGTTGGCCTTCATGTGTGTTTATAGAGATGTGTGTGTATATACATACATATGTTTCTTGGTCCTTTTCCCCTAATAGTTATGCACAGAGCAAAGAAGAAAGAAAAGTGAATTCTTAACTAGGCTCCTGTCTGACCCAGTGTATATATATATATTAACCAGCCAATTTGTGCATGCATATGGTGGTCCATGCTCTGCAGATAAACGTGATGGGGTTGCCTTCATACACATGCTGCTAACGCAAGTGCTCATGAAGGTGTTCTGGCTAGGTGAAGGCAGCACAGAGCGTATAGGCATGCTCCGTTGTAGAAAAACAGATGCTGAAGCACTGGAGCATTGCTTCTGAAGAGAAGACAGAGAGCCCAGGTCTCCCTGCATGGGCCCACTGGAGTCCAAGGACTTGAGATCAAGACTCAGACTGCAGTGTTTCTGTGCACTAATACATGTTTAATAATTAATTAGCTTTGTGTTTTATGCTGGCCTAGAGGAAAGGATGTTTGTTTCTGAAAGTAATCCTTTATTATGGAAACAGAAAAGCCTGTGAGAAATGGAAGGTGCAGTGTAAATTTTTTGAGGAAACCAAGAGCTTTAATTTCCTAGATTTCACTGTTACAATTTTGTATTACTAAAATAAGAAAAAGTAAATTCCATGCAAATGCTAGTTGTGTAACCAAGATTTCAATAGGTCATCT